TTTTCCTATTATACGAAATGAATTAAAAGTAGCACAAAACATTGGGAGATCAAACAGTCAATCAGAAGCTCATTAAATATCATTGAAATTGGTGCAATAAAAAGCATTTCCCATGGCTGAGTTATTTAAAAGCTATATTCTGTATGGCTTAAGGAGTTGATGTGCTGCCAATCAAAAAATCACCCTGTCCACATATAGCCACTTGGCTTTTAAAATTCACCATCCCCTCTTTTTTTGAGATAAGAGTAAATATCTAAAAAGATTTAAAGCACAGATAATAACCATCATATCTGCTCCTAGGAGATCCCCGAGAGAAGATATCAGGAAAGCCACCATCTGATAATTTAGATGACAGTTTAGACCAAGCTGCAGATTGAGCGCTAGTGGAGATTTTATAAAGACTACAGCATATTACATATATGTGCAATATTCGGTTAAACATAATCGCAGCCAGGGAATCGTGGTCAGGTAAAATTCAGAAATTAAATTCAACTCCACACTTGCAATGGATGCCCACTTTATTTTCTAAAGAGTGATAAAGAATTTCATTTTTCTATGGACCCAGACCTAGGCTGCGGCCCACATGAGGAACTGAAAGCTGATCACGCTAAGATTTCTAACATTTTCCCTCTGGGAGGTCCTATCTTTATTCTTTCGTTTTCTTTTCTTCTATTATTTATTTATTTAGCCAAACTACTATTTTAGTCTATTCTGTGCTTCTAGAACAAAATGCCACAGACAGGGTGATTTACAAACAGCACTAGCTGATTTCATTCAGGCTTAAGCTTCTGCTGCACCCTAACAACAATCCTGGGCTGCAGAGTGGGAGACCAAACCTGCACATTCAAGCCCTTTCATTTCTTTCATTTTTCTTTCTAAAGCCTTAAAATATATATATGTATATATATATGTTTATTTATTTATTTATTTACTAGAAAGGCAGAGAGAAAAAAGAGAGACAGCTTTCGCATCTGTTGATCCACACCCCAAATGTCTCCAAGAGCTGGGGTTGAGCAAGGCTAAATCTTAGAGCTGAGAAATCTGTTCAGGTCTCCTACATGGGTGGCCCACATGGGTGGCAGGGTCCCAAGGACGTGAGCCATCGACTGCTGCCTTCCCTAGGTGCAGGCAGGCAATCCCAGCAGGGAGGCAGAGCCAGACACTATTTGATCAGATGGGGGCAGTCAAGCGCACCTGTTCTTCCTGCCCTTACATACTTCACACTCAACCATCCCCGAGTTAATGCCCTCCCTGCCTACACATGTGCTGTTGGGTCCCACTTTCCAACACTATTTCCTTGGGGGTTGAATTTCCAACATTTGCTTTGGAAGGAGAAATTCAAACCAGAGCATTCTGCCCCGTCCACACTCACACATATTCATCCTTACACAGAAAACAACACATCGTTCCACCCCAATAACCCCCAGAGTCTTAACTTACTCACAGCAGCAACTCAAAGATCCAAAGTCCTGGATGGGGGCACTTGATGGCCAATGCAAGAACGTTGCTCGAGACATCCTCAGCCCGTACTGCAGTGCCTGGCTCTGAGCCCTGCCTCCACTTCCAATCCCAACTTTCTGCACCTTGAGAGGCAGGCCGATGAGAGCTTAAGTATTCGGTTCCCTGCCACCTGCATGCGAGACCTGGACTGAAGTCCAGGTTCTTGGCTCCACATCTCTGTTGTGTCAGGTACCTGGGGCATGAAAACTGGAGATGAAGATTCGCCTCCTCCCTCCATCTCTGCCTTTCAAATAAGCCCAACGTTGCATGGAAACCAGACATGGGTGAAACTCAAAGCACGATTCATCCTGAGAAGAATTTTCTTCCCATTGGGAGATTTGGAAATCAAATAGTTTATTTACTTTCCAAACTTTGATGTTAGAACAGGTGTAGAACAGACACTCCGCTTCTGACCGGCAGAAACAGGAGTAACTGAACAAGCAGTAAGTGATCCCAAGTCCAACACCCAGCAGAGCGGGAAAAAAAAAAAAATGTATCTTCAGGTTCCAGGATAAATTTTTACTCCATGTGCTGCATCCTGGACACACTGGCAGTGTGGGGTCTCCAAACCATCAGGTAGGTTAACAGGAAGCTACATTGCAAGTGGAGGAGCCAGGACTCAAACTGTCACTCTGATACGAGACATGAAGTTCCAAGTGGCAGCTTAACTTGCTGAACCACAAACGCCCATCTCCTGGCTGCCCTCTAACGTATCCCTATTAATCTCTAGTTAATAGTCACTTGGCCACACACCCAGTGTGTTTTCCCAAATAATGTCCCAAATCCTTCTTTCTCATTATAGATTTCACGCCTTCTTTCACTTTACCGTAGGGAGGTCCAAAGAAGCCAGTTAGTATCTTGAAGGCCTTGTTAATCATTTTTTTCTGCCAGAAGCCGAATGCATCACTCTTAAAAATGTGCCTGTACAAAGTTCTAGAATACGGACACAATGCCACCAAGTTCTTGGCAAGTGTATAACAAACATGACTCTTATTCCAGGGTCCAAGACCTTGGATCCTCATGTTCATCTGAGTCCTTCTCAAAATGGTCCTTCCAGCTCATATTCCCACTAATTTCTAAAATTTATTTTATTTCTATTGGAAAGGCAGATATACAGAGAGGAAAAGAGACAGAAAGGAAGGTCTCCCATCTGATGAATAACTCTCCCAAGTGGCCAGGAGCCAGGAGTTTCTTCCAGGTCTGCCACGCAGGTCCCAAGGCTTTGGGCTGTCCTCAACTGCTTTCCCAAACCACAAGCAGGGAGCTGGATGGGAAGCGGTCTTCTGGTGAGGATGACCCAAATGAAAAATACAGAAGACTCAGCCCCCATCACATCTTCAGCAGAAGGATGCAAGGACGTGTCCCCTCTAACCTCCCCATACTACCACCACCATCAGTTTCTCTTAAAAAGCCACGGCTTGCAGCAAATTACCTGGGAGTAAAGTGGGAGGGGAACTCAGAACAGCTTTACAGAAAGGTGTGGAGAGGCTCGTTATCATTCAGCTTCAGCTGTCTCCCCGTCTCCGAAGCAGCTCCCCCATTTCTCACGGAGCTGTCTAGGAAACATCTCCCTGGCATCTCACCCTCTCCCTCTGGCTTTCAGCAGCATTTCATTATTCCTGAACTGCCCCTCTCATGCCTGTCTCCCTTTTTCCTAGGGATCCACGTGTCCTCATTTAGCAGTTTTCAGAAGCCAGGGAGAAACGTTGCAAATAATGTTAAATATGATTAATATCTTGAATTCCTTGAAATATGACATGCATGAGTTACAATGAAACCTCTTTTATTTCCCCATGAAATGCTTTTGCATAATGAGAAAGAAAATGTCCTCTATGCCCTAATCAGCCCTGACAGTTCCTGGACTCCCAAATACTTTTATTTATGGCATTATTTATTTCATCTCTAATAAATGGAAGGAGCCCCCCCCCCCTCCAGGAGGCTGCGGCAGAAAGGGAGACAATTGAGGGTGGAGGACGCAGCAGCCGAACCCGCACACAAGAGGCTTCCACTGTGGGGGAGACCCAGGAAACCGAGGGGCCCAAGACCCCAACCCCAGGAGAGGAAAATGGGGCGCATCCCCAAGACTAAAAGGAAAGCTCTGTGAGGCAAACTCACTTCTGAGAAGAGAAATAAGGCTCCCACATTAAGGGGCATCCAGGACGCCAGCCGCCAGGAGGAACGAAGGCTGAAAATCAACTCTTAGGAGCTGGCCCAAAAAGGGGAGATCCGAAATAAGGTACAGGCTTTCTGCTCCGCGGTGACTGGTAGGAGCCAGGACAGTATCGGTATTTGACGGTCTTCACACCCAAGTGCACACACACCTACAAGTGCACAAATACACAGAACGGCAGAGTTGAAAGGAAGCCCCGTCCCACAGAGAGGGAGGGCATGCCTTCCAGTCAGTTCCATGGTCAATTTGCAGGCAGAAGTGAGATTCGAACCACAATGACCAGGATGCATCAGTGCAATCCGGCCATACATACTCCTCGGGGCCTGACTTTGGCCCATGCCCTTCAACCTTCCAGGGCCTCTGCTTTTCTCATCTGTGTTATGGGGGCTGGGGGAGGGATCACGGTCTCACGCACTTTCGCGGGATTTCCAAGAGGAAGTTCCAGGAAAACAACGCGAAAGTCCGACGCCGCGGACGCAGCTCGAATGGGCGTGAGCTGCGCGGGCCCCAGCAGGACGCCAAGCAACCGGACCCCAACTCCCCCTCAAGGCCGCGCCAACAGCACGCCGCGACCTCCCGGGGCCGACTCGTTCCGAACGTTCTCTTCCGCGGGGCGGAGCGGAGGAGTCACTCCCGGCCGGCAGAACTCCGCGTTCCAAAACGCGCCCGGGCGACCCCGCCCCGACCACTCCGTCCCACCCCCTCAGTGCAGCCGGAGAGTTTAGGGTCACGCAGGGGGCGCCAGGAGCTCGTTTCCGCAGCTGGATCTCGCCGGCGGCAGAGGCGGCAGCAGCAGGAGCAGAAGCCTCAAGTCCATTGCGGGGGGCTTCCAGAGACTCGCCCGAGCCGGGACCCCGGTACCCATCTTTTTTTTTTTCTTTCCACCTGTTACAGGGGCGCCCTCGGAGGGTCCCCGCTCCCTTCCTCTTTCTTCCCTCCTTCCCGCCCTCCTCAACCCCTTCTACCCTTCTTGGTCCGAGGCTCGGGGCCGGCGGGCGGCAGCGGCGGCAGCAGCAGCGGCGGCGGCGGCTGCAGCGCCAGGCCCCGCCTCCGCCCCCATTATCATTAGCAGATATTACCCTAAACACTTGCTCTTTACCTCCTTTCTCCCTCCAGGCATTGGCGAGGCGGCCTGTCAATCAGCGCTCGGGCGGCAGCCCCCCGCGCGGGGGCTCGGCGATGCCAGCCTCGGCGACAGGCGGCGGTGGCGGCGACCACGGCAGAGCCACACGCCCGCCCACACGCGCGCACAGGGGCAGAGCCGGCGGGCGGCAGGCGGTGGCACCCACGGAGCCGGGCGCCGGGCGGGGAGGGGACGGGCAAAGCGGGAGCGGCCCCGGGGCGCAGCATGGAGGAGGAGATGCAGGCAGCGGAGGAGGGGCCCAGCGTCCCCAAAATCTACAAGCAACGCGGCCCCTACAGCGTCCTCAAGACGTTCCCGAGCAAGAGACCGGCTCTGGCCAAGCGCTACGAGAGACCCACCCTGGTGGAGCTGCCGCACGTGCGGGCGCCCCCGCCGCCCTTCGCGCCCCTCGCCGCGGGCTCCATCAGCAGCAGCGAGCCGCCCCAGCCGCCGCCGCCGCCGTTCCCGGCCCAGAGCCCCTACCCCCCCGGGCCCGGCCGGGCCGCCGCCGCCGCCTCGTCGTCGTCGCCGTCCTGCACGCCCGCCGCGCCCCAGGGCCACCTGAGGACTCCGGCGCCGCCGCCCCCGGCCCCCGCCGCCTCCTCGTCGTCTTCCTTCGCCGCCGTCGTCAGGTACGGCTCCGGCTCGGCAGCCGCCGCGGGCAGCAGCCACGCGGGTAGCGACGGCGCCAGCCTGGAGCTCAGCGCAGGTGAGCGTCGGGGCGCAACTTTGCTTCCCGCCTCGGCTCCGGGGTGGGCGGTGGGGACAGGGCACTCCCCCTCTCCACTCCCCGGGGGCGGGAGGCGCGAACCGGGGTCTCTGGGGGAGCGGTGCGCCCGACGGCGGCGGAGGAGCAGCCCCGGGAGCGCATCCCGGAGACCTCGCGGTGCGTCCTCCGGCGCGGACGCAACTTCTGGAGGCTTCCTTCCCCGCCGCGCCACCGCGTCCCGGGCTTCCGACGGCGCGCGCGCGCTTAACAGGTGGCTTCCCCGCTCGGATCCCGCACCCAGAAGCGTGGCGGCGGCGGCGACCGTGGTCGCTCGGAGGGGTGGGCGTGTGGGGGACGGGTGCACGCGCGGGGGCGACTGGTGCAGCCCCTCGGGCTCCGAGGAGGGGGTGCGCCGTCGCTGCGCTGGAGGCCCCGCGCCTTCCCAGGACCCGCCGCTGCTTCACTTTTTTCCGCCTCCTCTCCTTTTCCCTGCCAGGCTTGGGTTTTGCCCCGGTTCCCCCCCTTCTCCCCTCTGAAGCACGTTCACGCTTTGGCTGTCGCCCTGGTGGCCGCTTTTCGGTCTCCTGTGCGCACGGGGTCTCTGTATCTGCTGGTCATTCCTCACCCACCCGCTAGTCCCGGCCACGTCTGTCGGACACCTGTCTCTTGCTTCCCAGCCCTGGGTACTCCCTTCCCGCCACCCACGTTGTCACCCCAACCCTGCAGAAAATAATGGACAGTCATTCCCACATTCCCAGGAGCTAGCAAACGGCCCCCTCGGGGAGGGCCAGCGCCCTACCCGGCGGCCTGAAGGGCTGGAGAGCCTGGGGCCATCGCCCTGACCTCCTGGGGCCATCGCCCTGACCTCCTGGGGCTGTTTCTCTTGTCCTTTCTGGTCCTTCAGACCTCCCCTTTCCCACTACACATTGTGTGGGACTAGCGAACCTGTTTGGTTTGGGGTTTGTTTTTGGTTTTTTTCTACTGAAAATGGAAGCGTGCTGTCTGTAAATGAGTTAAAGGTGCCCACACTAGCTGTTCTGTTTGTCAATATTATGACATGTGAAGGATGGGTTTAGAAGAAGAAAAGCAGACCCCAGGTTCTGGGGCGCACTTGCTCTGGAGCCGTGGCTGGGTTTCTGTGGGCTCCTTCGCGGGCTGCTTCCTCGTCGGTGCGCTGTGTGTGTGTGTTGTGTGGCTCCTGGCCCCAGAACCGTTGTGTTTCCATTCCTTTTCGGGTTGCTTGCCCTTGCGTTCGGTCTTTCTGCTTTTTCTCTTTTGCTGCTTCCTGGCAATGCCCCCTTTTATTTCCCCAGGCCCATATTTTCTTTCTTGTGGCATAGTTTTCTCCCACTTACGTTATTTTCCTAATTTCTGTGTTTGCTCACGCCTTTGGAAACTCGGGTTCACCTTGTTCTTTGGGGTTCGCTCCCCTGTGTCTGCCCTGTTTAGTCCGTGTTCTTCAGTTTTCTTCCTTTCCTCGCTGCATACACTGTGGGTCTGCCTCTTGTTTCCATTCACAACCATGACCTTCACCTTACTTTTGCCCACTGTTTCTTGCACCTGTTCCCAGCTCTGCTTTCTGGGGCAGTTTCTCCATGTGGAGCGTGGCAGGGTTATTTTAACCATGGCGATTTGTTTGTTCAAAATACCATCTTCTGGTGATTGTCTTACATTAGCTGTTTTGGGCCTCCAGATACCATAATGTCACAACATCTAAGTGGCATTCGATGCTCTCCAAACTTTGCGCCCTTTTCTTTGTGAGGTTTTTGTGTCGTGTTTTTTTAAAGAGGCTCCATTCAAAGAGTGGGATAAGCTTAGTCACGTGGGGTGGGGTGGGGGCGCTGGGTGCCAGGTACTTTTTGGAAAGATGGGAATTAAATGTCAGGTTTCCCCCACACGCTGAGAAAATTGGTCTGGGGGTTGGGAAGGAAGCCGTGGGCCTGGAGAGGAATCCTCAGAATGTGCATGGTGGGTGGACAAAGTCATCTCTTGACCAGCACAGTGATGTGAGTGACCATCAGAGGGAGAGCCACCTCAAGAGCTGATTGGTTCTTTGAGGAGCCAGTGGTTCCACTTTGAGCCAATGAGGATGTGGCACGCCATGGCCATTGAAGCCTGCTGAGTGGGGGTGTTTGCCACCCCTCCAGAAGTGTAATTGCACTGTCTCCGGCCAAGCTAACTCAGCGCATGGGGTGTGATGAAATGAGTCAAGATGGAAGAGGCGTAACTGAGTGTCCAGTCAGTACAGGGAAGAGACGAGATGGTTAGAGGCATGCTTGCCTTGAGCAGCCGTAAGCCACTGGGAAGAGAATTATGTGATTAAAAATAGATTTTTTTCAACATTCTTGTAAAACCTCATGAAGAGTATAATTTTCCTTAAAAGGGGTAAGATGCTGCAGTTTTGAAAGCATATTTTTCCTCTGTGGGAGGCTTAGAGTTAAAACCCACGTAGATCTTGATATGCAACCTAAATTTGGCATCAGGAAATGGAAAATTGCATCTTTAAGCAGAGTACAATCAAAAATGAATTACAATAAATCCTATATAATTGCATAGGTCATTCTCTTTAATGAGATTTTATTAACCTGACTGTCAAGCTTTTGAGTCAGGCAGATATTTTATCTTCTTCAACTGATAAAAGTGTCAGCTATAAACCACCATATAAATATTCATAAATCTACACATCTGTGGCAGCCTATCAGCATCATTCTTTTGGACATTAAAAGCATTCTAATTACTTTCTGTCTAGCAGAGCTGAAATGCTGCCTGTTATAGTATGTGCTTGGCAGGCATGATTGCTTTTGTTTGCCATCACAAATAGCAGCATTCTATTTTATATACCGATGGTCCAGAAAATATTCAGGGATTGACTGCACAGGATGAATATTAGGAAGCACCATCTGGTTTTGATAGCACCGGGTATATTAACTCATCTGTTAATTTTTGACACATCATTGATTTATTTATTTAGAAAAATTGCATCCTGTTTTGCTGTGTTGATGTTTGCCATTATGAAAAAAAATTGGATTTTTTTTTTTTGAGACATGATTCATTGATTTAAGACAGGTTGCTGCTTCCAAAGATACTTCATTTGCTGACTTACATTCTGGAGGCCGTGGAGTCCTCCCTTAATAAGAAGTTGCACGGTGGCTCTAAGAAAATCACCTATTTTGAAGTCGTTGAAAATCCTTTTGGTATATATAATATGTGGGTATTTGATACTGGGTCACGAAAGTAAAATCTGTGCTTCTACGTCTTTAATATTAATGTATTTCACCCTTCGCTGGGCTAAAATCAAAAGGTTACCACTCATCTTGACTACTGTGATCTCCCTCGTAGAAATAGGATTCTCCAGGGGCCGTGCGGTGATGGGCGAATTCCATTCAAGGCTTTACAAAGAAGGAGACTCAAGTAGGGAGACTGTTTGATTGCCTGCTTCCCATCCTGCCTCTTATTCGCTTATCAGATTTTGGATGGATTAAACCACTTCAGATTGGAGGAAATGCAAGAAATACATTTTTTTTTAGAGGAAAAAGAACTGATAGGTACAGATTTTAGAACCAGACTAGATACAGCTTGCAGCCTGATTCTGTCTTCCAGTAGACTGCATAGTAAGAGCAAATCAGAGGTGATCGTTTTAGAGCTCTTTACGATTGATTGACGTGTGATGGTGTTTAATTTGGGGAAGTTAAAGTAGGCAACTTCAGATCCCCTTTGTCAACTGTTGACTTTGTACTTTTCCTCCCATCTCTTGAATGGAGCATTCTATGACTAAGAAAACACAGTTGAAAAAATCAAAATACATGTTCACACTTGGCTCAGTTAAGAATCACGGAGCAATAGCTGTTCAGTTGTATTTGTATGAAAACAGAATTTTTCTGTTTCTTAGTGATCATGGACTACTCATAGTACTTGCGTTTCTAATTATATCCTGTCTGGAAAGGTGAAATGTGGCTGGCTGGAGCGTGTATTAAGTGAACAGATCTGTTACCCACCAGTGTAGTAGCAGTATTCATCACACTCACCCATATATCTGTGTTAAATGGCTGTTCAGATATTTCAAGGTATAGGAAACAGGAAAAATTCAGCTTTAAGGATTGCAATTGCTATTTTCTTATATATCAATTCTGAGAACCAATTCAGAGTGAAGCATTTTAAAAACTGCTGGCAAGAACTATTTTATGGTTGTAGCTATTCTCTGATATTCTGAGTACACTTTAATAGATTATCTTCATAATGTAGCATATTACATAATGATTTTTTCTCAGCAGGTTATGAGTTTATCCTTCAATTAAGAAAACAAATCACACTTGTCCCTAAGTCAGGTTTTTTTTTCCCTTAAAATCTATGCCATAATGTGATTCATCAATATGATTAAAACTACTGCCATGTTTTGTAGGGTATTGAATAAATATATTGGAGCAGTTTTTTCTAGACAATTCTATTTTAGCCTTTCCTCTCCCATTTTGTCCCTTTCATCAAGGTTATGTTTAAAGTGTATAGGCTGTAAATCAATTGGAACCATGCTGATTAAAATGCAAACAGTAAATACAACTTCAGGTCTAGAATAGGATTATAGGATTAAAATGAATGAAAACGGCTGTTGTGCTAGAATTGAAAATTCTCAATCAATATCTGCCTTTGATTTTACTAATAAAAGAACAACAAAAAAGGGGGGAGGGGAAGAGAGCAACACTTTAAATCTGGTTTATGTGGTTCAGAAACCTGGTTTCTGTTGACTTGTCATTGTAAAGAAGCGGCACCCAAATATTTATGAGATGTGGTATGAAAGTATACATACAGGCCCACAATACCATTTCTCCATGCTACCAAACTAAAACACCCTGACAATTACATGTTCACAGCGCCCAGGTTTGACTTTGGAATTTACAACCAATTGGCAGCCTGCTCTGCCCACTCCCAGCTGAACTTCCCAAGAATGTGGATAAGTGTCCACAGAGTCTCAAGCTGGAGCACCATGGTCTGTCTGGAGCAGGTGGCTCGGGAGAGGCCAGCACGGATACTGGGAGCAGTTCTAGTAGAGAATTCTTGGATCACGGCCACCTCGGCTCGGGCGGGGGTCCTCCTGTCTGGTCCAAGGTGGCACTGCCCCTGAGTGTGAGCAAGTGCTGTCCAGAGTGGAAGAGAACCTTGTGGACTCTCAGCCTTGTGAACTGATTTTACTGCCCTCCGCCCAACCAGGAAAATCTGGAAATGCTGTGTGTACAGAGTCTGTTTACACGCATCCTGCCGTGTGTTCAGGAAACATTTCTTAAGGGTCTGGTAGCCCAGCACAGACTGGGATCTTCTGAATGGAGCAGGTCTGATCTGTGCTCTGTCTGGGGATTGTTCGCAGAGATCCTGGAATGATAGCATCTTATACACAGAGTGTTTTAAAAGTTCATGGAGGACCTGGCACAATGGCTCAGTGGCTAATCCTCCCCCTTCAAGCTTTGCTGGGATTCCATAGGGATGCCAGTTCTAAACCTGGCTGCTCCACTCTCATCCAGGTCCCTGCCTGTGGCCTGGGAAAGCAGTCAAGGACACTCCAGTGCTTTGGGATCCTGTACCCGTGTGGGAAACCCAGAAGAGGTTCCAGGCTCCTGGCTTCAGATTGGTTCAGCTCCAGCTGTTGCAGCTGCTTGGGGAGTCAATCAATGGACAGAATGGACAGAAGATCTTCCTCTCTGTCTCTCCTCCTCTCTGTATATCTGATTTTTCAATAAAAATAAAATCTTGAAAAAAAGGAAGGGGTGGGAGCATACACTGGGATGTCCATGTGTTGTGTGGACATGTCTTTTAAAGGAAAATAAACATTTGAGAGACAAGGGGAAACTCGTTGTTTCAGTTTCCAAAAGCTCTGGAGGCGGGAGTTCACGCTGGAACCCCTCTGTGGGTGGCAGGGACCCAGCGACTAGAGCCGTCTTGCTGTTTCCCAGGGTGTCTATAACAGGAAGCTGACATTCGAACAGGACTGAAACCGGGACCCGGGTACCTCATGAGTTCTGAGTGGCTAGACCGGATTTTATGGGTAGTGCCATGCTGATTTTCTAGAGGATATCTGTTTGTACCCTCATAGTAACCTTTGAGCATCTCACTATGATTTTTAAAGTTCTCACTCTCCACCCTCCCCACTGGGGAAAAATGCAACAGATCTGCATTTTTAGGCAGTAAAGAGCTAATGACGTGTTATAAACAATTAACATCTAAAATCTCCAGCATTTTGTTTTGTTGCCAGGGATCTATTTGCAAGGGTTTTTGTCCTTTGCTCCCCCCCCCCCAACTTGACCATTGGTAGACTTTAAAATTCATGCATGTGAGGTGTCTGCACCCCAGGCATGTGCTGTTTCCTGAGATGTGGCCATCTAGTGAAAGAGACTCCAAGAAACACTGATTCTCAGATGCTCCTGATCGTATTCAGCCAGAATACTGGCGTTGACAAACGCAGTGACGGGTTAGTGGAAAGGGGAGCGCTCCTGTTGGGCGGCAGGCACGGTACAATAGTATGGTTTTGTGTTCATCCATTGCCTATAGGCTCACTCTTTGCTTTACTTAGTGAGCTCTTCAAAAAGACTTCCTTTCTTCACCAGTGTGCGTCTGGGAGCTACATACTGTCGGCAGGGATGGTGTCAGCTGATTAATGGCAAGGGCATAAGGGCACTCCAGAAATAGCAGTAATGATTGCTATAAGTCCTGCTATCAATGAGGAAGTGAGTCTGTAGTGGCTGGCTTCAATTCATCAGAGAAAGGGTATTTATGACGCTAAATGTGTCAGTTCCAAAACTGTGTGGGCCTGTGGATGCCCCAAAGGGACGGTACCTATAAAGGTACCCAGAGGCACAGGCCAGTCATTTCCCGGCATAAGGAAATTGAAGGTGACTCTCCAGGTACCCCACCAGTTGCAGGACCAAGGACACTGTCCTGTTAGCAGCGGCTTCCCTGGGCCACCTTGGCTTGTGAAAGCAGGCTTTGATACCGTGATTCTGTGGGTTAGCATTGAGAACACATTCCCCACCCCTCACCCTTGCCTGTTGCTCACTGATGTGTCTTTTTGTTTGTTGCAGAGAGCCGGATGATCCTGGATGCCTTTGCCCAGCAGTGCAGTCGAGTTCTTAGTTTATTGAATTGTGGAGGAAAACTTGTGGATTCCAACCATTCTCAATCCATGATTTCTTGTGTAAAGCAAGAAGGCTCAAATTACAGTGAAAGATCGGAGCAGTGTCATGTTGGCAAAGGGGTCCACAGTCAGACCTCAGACAATGTAGATATAGAGATGCAGTATATGCAAAGGAAGCAACAGACTTCTGCCTTTCTGAGGGTTTTCACTGACTCCCTCCAGAATTACCTGCTCTCCGGGAGCTTCCTGACTCCCAGCACCTCGTCAGTCAGTGAGTATGGCCACTTGGCTGACGTGGATCCTCTGTCAACCTCCCCGGTGCACACACTGGGTGGCTGGGCATCTCCGGCGACATCCGAATCCCATGGTCACCCATCCTCTTCTACACTGCCAGAGGAGGAAGAGGAGGAGGAGGAGGAGGAAGGCTACTGTCCTCGATGCCAGGAACTGGAGCAGGAGGTGATTTCACTACAGCAAGAAAATGAGGAACTCAGAAGGAAGCTCGAGAGCATCCCAGGTATCCTGCTGTAATACTTGCAAGACAGCTGCAGCTTTTACATCCGTTGTCTCATCCATCTATATAAATGCGTGTATATAATGTAGAGTTTTTGGTTGGTTTTGGTCAACAGTGTAAAGTTGAAAAAATAGACCTGCACGAAGTATTCTGTCCAGTGCCAGGCAGGAAATTCCAAAATGAACTACAAGCCTGTCTTGCTTGTCAGCTAGCGGTCTTTGGTAAAAGATGTCTCCTCTGGTGACATATAAGTTCATTCTAATTGCGACATCTTGATCAAGGGCTGGGAGCCTAATTTCTTTTTTTTTTTTTTTTTTTTTTTTTAAGTGTTCTTGTCTTTGAAAATGGCTGTTTTTAAAGGCTTGGTCAGTGAGAAATTGAAACATTGCGGGATTCTCAAGCAGGACTCTAGTAGTTCTGAGCAGAGGAAATGGCCTCTTGGTCCCACTGATTCCAGCATGCTGTTCGATTGTTTCAGCAGGCTCTTTTAGCATGAAAACTCCCACTCAAAGTTAATAAGAAACTGGAAACTGAAACTAATAGGTCAAAGACAGACTGGTCCTTAAACTGACCCCAAGCTCTTCTTGCCTCTGGCTGAAAGGGAGGCATTTCCTGCCTCTTAGCAGAAGACTGTAGGTTTTCACAGCTGTAAAATCAGCTTTACTGCCAGTCCCGTAGGCTGTGGAATTGTGTCTTTCACATTTTGGAAAAGTACTGGTTTCCTTTTTTATCTTTAAATTCAGGTTTATGGCTTTGTGAGACAGAGTCATCAGCTAGGGGTGGGCATTCTGGTGCAGTGGGTGAAGCCACCATTGGGGATGCCTGCGACTCATATCTCATGGCCGGTTGGAGTTGTGGCTGGCCCGTGCTTCTGATTCAGTTTTCCTACTAGTGTTCCTGGGAGGCAGAAGATGGTGGTGCAAGTGTTGGGATGCAGTTCTGGTTGTGGCCGGACCTAGTCCAGGTCTCTGCGCGTTTGGAGAGTGAGCCAACAAATGGAAGAACTCTGTCTCTGTCTTCTCCCTGTGTCACTCTGATTTTCAGATAAGCTACAGCAGTGTCTTCATCTGTGTGACTCACACAGTTATTGGTTAGTTACATATGTAGTACTCTACAAATATTGTGTTCAAAATTTTCTAAATCATAAGTGTAATATATACATATAAATAGAAGCTTTGTTATTAACTCAGGTATCTTTGCTTCACCCAGTTTGGCAACTAATCTAAAAGAAAGAATGTTGAAGAAAGTTGCTTGTAAGGCAGGCTTTGGAGTGTAGCACATTAAGCTGCCACTTGGGCTGCTGGATACCATATTGACTACTAGTTCTATTCCTGGATACTCCCATTTCTAGCTAGGAAGCTAAGGCATCTGGCAGCAGATGAGGCCCAAGGACTTGGGGTTCTGCCATTCGTAGGAAGAGACCCAGGTGAAGTTCTATTGTAGGCATTTTGGGAGTGAGCGAGCTGATGGAAAATTTTTGTCTCTGTTTCACGCTGCCTTTAAAATAAGTAAAACTTTAGTGATTAATTTTTTTTAAAAAGTTACTTCTTTATTAGTACCCACAAGAGGAGGGGAAAAAAATGTGAAGATTTGTAGGCTCAGAAGTTAATCTTGGGACAAACATTTGACACAGAGTTAAGACTCACACACTGGTTAGGACACCTGTAGCCTGCGTAGGAAAGCCTGGTTCAAGTGCAAGCCTCACTCTGGATCCAGCTTCCTGCTGATGCACTCGCTGGGTAGGCATCAGGTGTGAGAGCTCAGCTATTGGGGTTCCTGCCACTCATAGGTAGACCCTGACTGAATTCCCTGCTCCTACTTCGGCCTGGCCCAGCTCCAGCAATTGCAAGCATTTGAAGAGTGAACCAGGAGATGGAAGATCTCTCCTGTATCCGTCTGTCTCCTCCAACCTTTGTGTGTCTACTTTCCAAATATAATGAAATAGCCCTATAACACAACTACTGAATCCTTTCATCTAATTTGGGGTAAGGACATGCAAACAGCAGCTTAACAGGCTACATCGCAGCTCCCACTGCTCATCTGTTTTTAATTGTGAAATTTGTATTTGTTTGAAAGGCAGAAAGGTACATTTGCTATCTGCTGCTAAACCTGGGAACCCAACATTCAGTTTGAATCTTCAGGGAAACAAGCCACCACCTGCTGCCTCCCAGGGTGTTCATTAACAAGAAAATGACATGGGGAGCAGAGCCAGAACTAATCTGGGATGTGAGCATCCCTACGGGGGCCTTTAGCCACTCCCCCATCTACCTTTTCATTTGAAAAACTTTGCCCCAGGAAGGTATGAGTCCAATCTATGTTTTTGCATTGGAGCTGGGGATTGGATGTTGAGGCAAGGTTCCTTTCCATGCCAGGTGGATGCTAACTGCAGGAGGGGCGCTGGTAGCGTGTGAAAGTACGTGCTAGAACCTGCAAACTCTTGATTTCCCAAGTAAGGAAGGTTGCAGCTAACAGCTGTAAGAACTTCCTGCACCTGGGAAGGTCCTGAGCCGTTCTCTGGGGGGCTCCCTGCAGGATCTGTTTCTTAGGATATTAAGTGTCTGGAGGATTCACGGCCACAGGAAGGCAACTTGTTGAAGCCCTTGGCCTTGCTGAGTTGCAGAATTCGAGGACAGGAGACAGATGTCCAGAGTGAGTCTTGTTCTGTAATTCCTTGTTCTTAGCCTTTCTTTGATGAGCTGTGTGCCCTTGGCATACCCTAAGCAATTGAGGGTGCCATCCACCACTTCTTACCTGACCCCATGCCAAGTCACCAGTGCTGGCACCACCACCTGAAGCCATTAGCAAGTCAATATGGAACCTTCAAGAAGGGACACTGGCACATTTTCTTTGGTATTAGCTCTTCATACTAGAAATTAAGAAGTCTGTTAAAAGGTTAAAGATTTTGAAAAGGAAAATGCAAATGAGCTAACCAAGCTGAGTGTCAAGTTAACATGGTCACATTTTGTGTGAGCCCTCACAGCTGACACTGAGTAGCCAAGGATGCAAGGCAGAGTGAGTACAAAGAACCATGCTTCCGAGCCAGTGCTGTACCCACTCTGTGCTGCTGTGCCTAGGAAAGCAGCAGAAGTTGACCCAAGTTTTTGGGCCCCTGCATCCATATGGAGACCAAAAGAAGCTCCTGGCTACTGGCTTCAGCCTGGCCTAGCTCTGGCATTACAGCCACTTGGGGAGTGAACCAGTACATAGATTATCTCTTTCCTCTTCTAACTCTGCCTTTCAATATATAAAAATATATATATATATATATATCATGTAATACAGCAAAGAATGTGTGAGACACACTAATGTTCTCACACATTAGAGAAAAAATTGGGCCTGGTGTGATAGCCTAGTGGCTAAATCCTAGCCTTGCACACCTGGGATCTCATATGGATGCCAGTTTGTGTCCCAACTGCTCTACTTCCCATCCAGCTCCTTTCCTTTACTGGGAAAGCAATAAAGGACGGTGCAAAGTCTTGGGATCCTGCACCCATGTGGGAGACCTGGAAAAGAGGCTCCTTCCTGGCTCCTAGCTTTGGATCAGCCATTGCATGCACTTGGGCAGTGTAGCAGAGGGCGGAAAATCTTTTTCTTGGTATCTCTTTTTTACTCTATGTCTGCCTTTCCAACAAAAACAAATCTTAAAAAAAAAAAGGAAAAATTGCAAATCATATCTGTACATTGCTATAATCTTCAAAAACATTCATAGATGTCAAAATATGAACATTTTTGTCTTAGAATGTTAATTTTAAACATTTTCCAAATTATTTAATTTCAGCATATTGAAAATATCTTGACATCTTTTTTAAAATTTAATGAGCTTATTTATTTATTTTATTTCTTTTTTAAAATTATTATTTTATGCTAAAGTTCCATAGGCCCTGGAATTAGCCTTACCTCTGCCCCGAGTTCCCTCCTGGCTAGTAAGTTCCCCCCTATTATTAATACAGTATAGTTGTTCATATACAGTCATATGTCCATCATCGTGGACATGGACAATGGCAGAGAGTCCAGCATCCTATTATCAAGATGTAATTGACAGTTTCATTGGGAGTCCATCTTTGTCTGGAAGTAGAGATGCATACTGCACATGTGGATATGATAGTCTCCGTGACAGTTATTATACATCCCCTTAAAAGAAAAGCCATGATACAAAGTCAACAACAGGAAGAAAAATAGAAATTTATAACACCATGAAGTTAAATAACATGCTACTGAATGCCTAATATGCCACTGAAGAAATGAAAAAAAAATCAAGTATTTTCTTGAAAATGATGCTACTGTATGATCTATGAGTCAGTGAAGAATTTAATGAGAAAGGCTTTTGAAGAGATGAAACAAAAAAAAATCAAAATCCGTGAGATATAGTTTCTGCTTAGCTTTGTGGGTGAGATATATCTTCTGTAGGCAACAAATAGATGGGCTTTGTTATTTTAATCCAGTCTACAAATCCATGACATTTAATTGATGAGTTTAAGCCATTTGCATGCAGGATTAATATGTATGGCTGGTAATTTGGTCCTATCATTTTAGCAATTGGTTGTTCGTTGATTAATCTTCTGTTATTTTACAGGGGTGTTCTTCACATTTGCCTTTGGTTTCGGGGTGCTGTTCCTCTTCTCGGTCAAGAGAACATCTTTAAGTATCATTTGTAGAGCAGGTTTGGAAGAGGCATATTCTTTTAACTTTTCTTTACTGTGGAAGAATTTTATTTCATTTTCAATGACAAAGGAAAGTTTTGCTGGGTATGTTGTCCTGGGTCAACAATTTTTTGCTTTTAGAATGTGGAATATGTCACTCTCTTGTCTTGCCTGTAGAGTTTCCTGTGAGAGGTCTCCTATGAATTTAACTGGCATTCCTTTATATGTCAGTTGGTTTTATTCACATGCACATTTAAGGATCTTATGTTCACTTGAAGAGAACCAGATTATCATGTGTCATGGTGAAACTCACTTTTGGTCTACCCTGTTGGGAATTCTGTGCCCCTCCTGGATGTTGTTTCC